GTCATTTCTTACAGTGCTTAGCAGTTCTTGAATCAATCCTTCAAAATCAATACATTCTCTCTTAAATCTGTGTCCCTTCTCACTGCAGTCAGTAACATGAGATATTTACTGATACTCATAGGTGTGTTGCTTCGTATGAAATGATTAACAAATTTAGACTGTTCTCAACCCAAAATAGACCACTATTTGCAAACTCTCCTTTAGCCTAGGAGATAGGTTCTCTGTCTATGTGAGAGTAACAAAGTTGTGCCAAAGAATAGGCCAGGCTCTGCAAGTAGCTTATTGGAGATATCAGAACCTAGCAATTAACTCATCTGGCATGCAGGACAAGCTTGCATAAATTACCTTGTGCAGACATGGGGGGGAGTGGGGCAGGAGACAGAAGCTGCAGGACACTAAATTCTGGAAACACAGGTCCCTGCTGGGGATGTATGTACTGAGGCAGAGTTCAAGTTGGGGCAAGGCCAGGGAGGAGCTCATCTGTGGTGCAGTTGGTGGTGGGGTTGGGGACTGTGGGGTTGGAGGGAGGGGGATGATGAGGAGAAGGGAGAGAAAGAGCCATGTAATTTGGGAGCTCCCTATTTTACCTAATTGTTATTGCTAATGTATTTTATGGGTTGCATGGGGGAAAAAAGGATTAAAGACGGGATCAGAAGTAAAAGGTGTCATTAAGGAAATGTCTAATAGGAAAAGAAGATAGGCTGATCACGTGGTATGGGTAAGTGATGACAGATGGACAGCCAGAGTTCAACTATTTCTTTCCTGTTGTGTCAAGAGAAGGTGAGGAAGGCCTCTGGCACATTGGGAGGGCTCCCTGTCCCCATACTTTCAGGAGGACTTGGACAAGAATGAGTTGTGATTTGCACTGTTAAATTGACCTTCCAAATCAATTAGATCATAGGTCCATTGGACTACTCTTGCTAACTAATACTAAGCTCAGTTGTTTCTAATTACCAGAAGTATCAGTATCACTGTAGTCTGCACCCTCCAAATTTCAGCATGTTGGGGACAAGTCCTGGTTATAGCTCTGGGAGACACACATAGATGGTGTCCCTGTGTATTTAGGCCTGGGAGAAATGAGTCACTAATGAACACTAATACCCAAACTATTTATTGTCTTAAATGATTGATTATTCTCTGGCTCCTCTCTCTTCTGCCATCCTCTAAATATAGGAACCCAACAAAGTATTATCTTTAGCTAATCTTTTCTTTTTACATTCTCTCCCTAATTGATATCATCTATTTTCTTTTTTTTTGGGTCATTTTATTGTTACATTTTTTTATCACAATTTGTCACCAATGCGCTAGCTAGTAACATAGGATTATTCTGAGCTATAAAAACAGTTTACAGGCAGTGTTGCATAATGGTTTGAGAGCCAACCTCAGAATTCAGAAGATGAAGGTTCAGGTCCCACCTCTGACACATACTAGTTGCATGTCACTAGGTAAATCACTTATCCTTTCAGTCCCTCCACGTATCTCCTCAAGTCTCTAAGTTGTAGTACGGTTCAGGCCCTTACTGGGTAAGGGCAAGAACAGTGGTAAAAGACCAGAACAGTGACCACACTGCTTTCCAGATCACACCTTGGAGGCGCTGAAAACTTCCCAAATCCTCAGAACTAGCTTTGAAAATAGTAGTGCAATACTATTTGCTATTTTTTTCTTGTTTTGTTTCCTCTTTCTGGTGGTTCCTCCTATTGGTTCTAATTCTTACTTACAAAATCACTGATGTGAAAATATGTTTAATAGGAATGTATATGTATAGCCTATATCAGATTGCACACCATCTTGGGGAGGGAGGTGGAGAGGGAGGGGGACATTTCATCTATTTTCATTGCGATTCAGATGACTTCCAAAATTATATTTCCAACCCCTGTTCTTTTTCCTGAGATTCAGTACCCGCATCTTCAATTGTCTTGCTATTTATTGCCACCTGGATGTCTCATTGATACCTCAAACTTAAAATATCCCAAACTGAGGCTTTATTTCCCCCTCCCCTAATTTTCCACTTCCTCCAAACTTCAGTCACCTTTTATTTTTCCTTTTCCTTTATTCTCCTCCCACAGTACAACTAATTGCTAAATCCCACTGATTGACTCTACAATCTCCTTTATCTGTCCCCACTTCCATGACCCTAGTTAAAGCCCTGGTTCTGCCTGCGATGGCCCACTATTATATTTTCTTAGAAGTATCCCTGTCTCCAGCCTCTCCCCTAACTTCACAATACACTCTGTATGGTATTATGAGGTTAATCTTCCCAATGAACATCTTTAGTCACATCCCTCCCTCATCCCTAAAACCTTCAATTGCATCCAATTGCATACAGAAAATAAAACATAAATTTCTTATCCTGGCATTTAATTATCTTTAAATTCCTATTAGTGTTTTGCACATAGTAGGTGCTTGATAAACCTTTGTTCAATTGAATTTGGCTCTGGAATGATTCTGTGTCTACCCACCACTTAACAGCTTTGCCTTTTTCATTACCTTTGGCTGTGCTTGATATAAGCAAACTTTCATTGGGCTCCTAGGGCAGGGAAGATGACGACACAGTAGTGTGCTGGATGGAATGAGGAAGCTAGCCTGAGAATAATTGATGACTTGATACAGTTATAGGGAGAGTTTGATTCTTTCGTTCTTTGATTCATTCTACAAATACTTATTAAGCTCCTAGCCCTGGCGGAGAAAGAAAGTTTACCTAAGACATGGTCCCTCCTTTCATGTATCTTATAGCCTAGGATGGGAATTAGCACAAATCAGATGATAAAAATTCAAAATATTACGTGATAAATGAGTTAAGGAAGTGCTAAAAAAAAAAAGTGCTAAAGTCCAAAGGGAAGGTCTTTACCAATAGGGGTCAATCAGGGAAATCTTCCTTGGTGAGATGATTTGAGTTACCTGACATTAACAACAGGGAAACCCATCTTCCTGAAATACAGGTGCAGAATGTTACCGAAAAATCACCTTCTTAAGTACAAGACAAGGGGAGATGGGGCTAGACAGTAGTTTGTCTGGAAAGATCTGAGGCTTTTAGTGGTCTGCAAAGTCAATATGATTTACTAGTGTGATATGACAACCAAAAAAGCTTATGGAATTTAGGTTGCTACAAAATATATAGTTTCCAGCATCAGAGAGGTGAAAGTACTGCTGTATCCTGCTCTCTGGTCCAACACCATCTGGGACATTGTTTTCATTTGTAGGGGCCACATTTTAGGAAGCAGGTTGATGACTTGGAGAGTTCAGACAACAGCAACCCGTTGAAGGGCTTTGAGATCATGTTTGGGCAAATGTAGAGCCAGAAATAAGAAGAAGTTATAGGGAAGAAGATTCAATATAAGGAAAAACTTCCTAATCATTACAGCTATACAACACTGGATATGAGTGCCTCAAGGTACAGTGAGTTTCCCTTCACAAGAGGTCTTCAAGCTAAGGCTGTATACTAGTCAAGTATGATGTAGAGGGAATTCTTATTCAGGGTGTGTGTGTGTGTGTGTTTGTGTGTGTGTGTGTGTGTGTGTGTGCATGTGTGTATGTTCATTCTAGATCAGAGATTCTTAACTTGGGATTCATAGGCCCCCATGGGATCTGTGGATAGATTTCAGAAAGTCTAATTTCACAAAAAAACATGTATTTTCTATCCCTCCAAGGTCACAGACTTTGTATGGGGGGAAAATACATCTTTATTTTCACTATCCTCTAATTGAAATTTAGCATTTCATTCAAATAGTTAAAAAAAAAAATCAACATTCTAAAAAGGTGTCCATAGACTTACCAGACTGCCAAAGGGGGTTATCTCACTCACCCATAACTAAAGAATCTCGGTCCTACATGGCCTCTCAGGTCCCTAACAACTCTGAGATCCTGAGCTATTTCTGAGTTGTTCTCAAAGGGAGAAGGGACCACCATGATCCGTAGGGTGGAGATGGAGAAGAGGCTGGGGAGCAAAGAACAGTCCATTTTAGGGAACATATAGACAAGTCTGAGGAGGGGAGTTAAGGAAACAAGACTGAAAAAGATAGTTGGTGCCAGATTGTAGAGGGTGTTAAAGGCATTTTTCAACTTTACTTGGGAGATAGTAGGGAGCCACTGAAGATTTTTGAGTAGGACATGACCACATTTATGATGAAGAAAGATAATCATTGAAGTAGTAGGTCTGTCTTAGAGTGGTAAGAAAGCTTGGTTGGAGGGTCCAGAAAGGGAGATTGAAGACCCTTTAACAGGTTATTGCAATTGTACAGGGAAGGGGTAATGAAATTTGTTGTTCAGTAGTTTTGACTCTTTGTAACTCCATTTGGGGTTTTCTTGGCAAAGATACTGGAGTGATTTGTTATTTCCTTCTCCAGCTTATTTTACAGATGAGGAAAGTGAGGCAAATAGGGTTACTTGACTTGCCCAGGGTCACACTGCTAACAAGTGTCTGGATTTGAACTCAGGAAGATGAGTCTGACTCCATCGACAGCACTCTATTCACCTAGCTGCTGTGGTAATGAGATACTGTAAGGTTAATGGGAAGAGAGAGGCAGTGGGGAATAATCTAAGAAGTTGAAAAGGTAGAGTTGACAACACTAGACGATAGAGAAGAGCCAACGATAATCCCAAGGTTTAAAGACATGTAAGCCACTGAATAGTAAGAGAGTGATGAAATTACAAGGTCAGGAAGGGAGTGTTGGGATATGTTGAATTTGAGTTGCTGATGTCACATCCAGGTGGAGATGTCCTGTAGGTGGTTGGAGATTCAGGCCTGTAGCTCAAGAGAGAGGTCAAAACAATAGAAAAATCGTGTTTAAAAAATCACAATAATGGGACACCCTTAGGATACATGCCTTCTGCCCTACTAACTGGGTTTGGATTGGGGTCCTTCTCCCCAGCACTCATTCCTGGGGTCGCATGCCCACCCAGTCAGTCTTGCAGGCCCCTTCAGCAGCTTGGCTCAGGGGGGAGAGCTCTCCGGTCGGGAAGATGCTCCCTAGACCCGCCCCGACCCCTCCCCGAGTTGCTACCTGAGGCTCGCTCCCAGACCGTTTCAGTCGCACTCCTGGCTGCACCGGCGCCAAGCCACGGGTGGGGTGGGAGAGGGGAGAGACAGGTGCTTCGCACCCAAGGCGGAAGAAGAGCAGCAAGACCTTAGAGGGAAGGGCGGCACAGGTGGGGGCGGGGCGGGGAGGGACCCCTTTGTTTGCGCTTGACAACCAAGCGCGCGGGTTCGCCTGTCTTAGCAACCAGTGGGGGAGGGGTCGAGGCCTGTTGGAGGAAACGTCACAAACGCCCCCCTCCTCGTCGGGCAGGGCTCAGATTGGCTAGGGGAAAGAGAGGCAATGGGGATACTCTCGAACCCGCGACCCAGGAGGGAGCGTTGCACCTGGGGGAACCTGGAAACTACCTAAGGGCTCCCGCTGGGAGAGGAATTGGGCTGGTAGTTAAAGGGAAGGGTTTAGAGGAGTGCAAACCATCCTGGAGGTTTGAGGCTGGAAAGGACTAAAGTGCAGCCGAGTGCACGGGCCGAATCTGGGCAAGGGGGAATCTTCGGGGAGGGGCGCTGAGGCCGGAGAGCTGCAAGCAGACTCCCGGCGTCGGGGAGAGCGGTAATAGCGGCGATGGATTTTCGAGATCGGGGAATGAACCTAGAGGGGTCACCTGCCCGAGGGTGGGAGGAGAGTCAGTGGTTAGGGACGGACAGGATGGCTTCTGAGCCCCACATTGCCTCCGAGATTCCATGGGTCTGAATTCTCAGAGCGGAGCCAAGAATCCAATTGTTCTGAGGTCCGTTAAACGGACCATTGTGCCTAGGGGTGTGCTGGTAAATGTTTAACAACTGTCTCTCTGGGGATTAAAAAAAAAACCACCCTCCTGACACACTATTATATTTAATATGCTTTGCTAATACTTAAATCTAGACAATCAAATCAACAATAAATCAAGCCCTGTTGCCAATTGGAGGTGTAGATGAAAAATTTAACAATCTGGTTAGAGCTGGCTCCAGCACGCCCCTGAGCATGTCCAATGGCATGGAAGGCAGATGTGGAGCAAAGCCCAGGCCCCTTATTAAGTACTTACTACATGCCGAGCATCCCTGAGACAAGTAGAAAATCCTGCTCTCAAGGAGCTCACACTTTATGTTAGAGTATGTTGGAGGTGGTGGGTAAATATGATAAGAGTTGTGGGAAGTTGAGGGGGGAGGTAAAGCGTGGTAATATGCAAGTCTGGAAGTAGTCAAGATATCCCCAAGCTACTTTTCCCTTGCCCTATCCTTCCCCCCTGCCTTCCCCTACACATCCCTCTTTAAAGGGGAGGTTCTTTCTTCTTCCTCCTCTCCAGCTGTCCCTGCTTAAACTGGCTTTCAAGTCATTTATACTTTAGTTTGAATTTAGTGTAAATCCGTTTCTATTTTACCCAAGGGTATATTTTAAGACTCTTCTCTAGTGTGAAATTTTAATTCTTTTTGGACTTTTGTAGTAGGAAGAATTTAGGCTAGATCTAAGTCAATTTCTTGTTGGGATTATGAGAAACTGGACTAAGCTAGACGTCTTGTTTGGAGGATCATAGTTTTCTTTGGGAGGGGATAGGTAGGGGTTATTCTTGATTGATCTTCAATGAACAAGGATTTACTGAATGCCTGCTATGTGCCCAGCTTGCTCATTTACATGATATTGAGCAGTCATTGGAAATACTTGTTGACTTTACAATTTTTATAAATGTTGTTGAAAATGGTAATTATGACCAGGTCTTCCCTCCATTCGTAAGTATATAAACTCATTTAACATCATATTTGTAAGAAATGAGGTTTACCAGGTCATAGTATCATAAACTTGGAGCTAAAAGGACTTTAGAAGGACTGCCTCACCCCTGTTTTACATATAAGGAAACTGAGACATAGAAAGTGCCTTACCTGAGATCTCCCAGTGAGTAAGGAAGTAAGTAAGTAGCAGATATGAGCCATGAAAAAGTCTTCTGACTCTAAATATAATACTGTTTCCACTATAACAAGCTGCCTTCATCTGAGTAACATTTTTTTATCTTTCCCTTTAAGTGCCCTAGCCTTTTAAAAAATTTAATCATTTTACTAGGCATCTAACAACTAAAAAAAGGCAGTTAAGTGGTGAAGTAGAGCTCTGGGCCTGGAGTCATGAAGACCAGAGTTCAAATCCAGTCTCAGATACTTATTAGCTGTGTGACCCTGGAAAGTCACTTAAACCCTGTTTGCCTCAGTTTCCCCATCTGTAAAATGAGCTGGAGAAGGAAATGGCAAGCTGCTCCATATCTTTGCCAAGAAAACCCAAGAAAGGGGGTCACATAGAGTCAGACACAGCTGAAACAACTGAACCAACCACTAGAAAATCAAGATCCTCTTTGTGATTCTTGACAATTTACTCTCCTCTTCCCTTTGACCACTTCTTTCCCTTTGCCTTCCATTGTCTTCTCCTGACTCCCAATAATGAGGAATTCTTTAAACTCTGTTTTCAGTCTTCTTTTCTCCCTTGACACTTTCTAGTCTGAGATTTTATCTACTTCAACTATCATTTCTTTACAGATTTACTCCTACACCCAGATATAGCTCCTGAGGTTCAGCCTTCATTTCTCAATGCTTCATAGGATCGTAGATTTAGAGAAAGGGAAACTTAGCCGTCACCTGGTCCAATTTGTACATAATGCAGATGAGGAAACTGACGCCCAAAGAATCATTTGCTCAAGGTCACATAGGTAATTAATAGCAGAGTCAGACTTTGGATCAAGGTCCTCTGACTACAAATTCCGTGCTCTTTCCACAATACCAGTCTTTTCACCTTGTTGTCCTGCCATCACTTCAAACTGAACATGTCTAAAGCCAAACTTAACTTTCCCCCTAAATCAGTTCCAGGCTTCCCTGTTTCTGTCAGTGGTTATCAGTCTCCCAGTTACCCAGGCTTAAAGTCTTAGAGTCAACTATTCTCTCTCTCTCTCATCTGCCTAATCAGTTATAAAGTTCTATTTTGACTTCTTTCACAGTCTCTGTCATCCTGAACTATTACAGTAATCTCCTAAACAACATCTATCCTTAATTAACAAGCATTTATTAAACACCTGCTATGTGTTGGGCACTGTGCTAAGTGCTGGCAGTACTAAACAATAGTGAACTCCTCTCTGCCTTCAAGGAGCTTACATTTTAATAATCCAGTCCATTCTATCTACCCGATTAGGAAACACTACTTGGCAGATATCATTGCCTATTCCTCCTCCCCTCCACCCCTCAATAATTCAGTTCAAGGATTTATCAAACACCTATTGGTGAAGCATTTTTCTAGGTACTGGAGATAAATGAAGCAGCAGCTGTCCTTTAAGAATTTATACTCTACTCATGTAGGGAAGAGAGGAAGAGATAGGACATGTGCATAGATAAATAAATACAAATTATGCACAAAGCAATTTGGGAGGGGGTATTAAATAACACCTGGGAATATAAAGAAAGGCTTCAATAGTTTTCTGTTAATACGCAATTAAGTCCAGACTCTTGAGCCTGGCATTGAAGAGTGTTTACAGCTACCTCCCTGATGCTCTTCTACACAAACAGCTGAACACAACCTATTCATTATTCCCTGAATAGACCACTCAGATTTCTAACTCTACCTTTGCTTCTAGCCTTTTTCTTAGCCTAGATTGTCTTCTTTCCCCTAATATTTTTTAATTGTCTTTGTTTAAGACTTTCTCCTCAAGTCCCAAACATGTCACTTTTTCTAAGAAGCCTTCTCAGATCAACCATCGGTGACTATCCTCTCTTCTGAACTTCTAATCCATAGCATCAATTTTTACCATTCTTGGCACTGCCTTGTGCTGTGCTTTATCTGTTTGAGGACGATATGTCATGGAATCACAGCATCTGACCAAAGACACCCCAGAGATTAGACAAATCCTCTTTCCTTAACTACTTGCTTATATATCAGCCCTCAGCCCTCAGCCACCAGGGGTCAGCACCAGCACTGTGCCCCCTTGAAGATTGTGATGGGGAGGAACATGGTTCCCTTAGCTGAGTATTCAGGATTCTTAACCATGTGATCTTCTTGATTACCATTGCCATTGACTTCCCATATTTTAGTCAGTTGAGATAACCTGATCAATTTGTATTTACTTCATCCTCTGAGTAGTAAGTTTCCCCAACCTGCTCCCCTAAATCTGGTATTCAGAGGCACTGTCGGCCAAAGTACAAGCCCCTCTCCAAGGTACATCTTGTCTCCATCCATTTCAGTACTACTCTTGCCCAATCCCTGTCTTTGTCTGCCTTCCTCTAACATTGTCCCTTCTGGAACCCCAATGATATCCTTAACAAATGCCTTCTTATGGTGGGTCTCTTCCTCTTATGTTCTTTCTATCTTCTTGTGCATATAGAAGCCTAGCTTTCTCCAGATGGTACCTCCTCACTTTCTATATTTCTGGTTGCTCCTTCTCCTAGGCTGTTTAACACAATAGACCAAGAATAATAATGGGTGTACTCTTTGCTCCCTACTGCCACTTCCAGGCCCTTCTTCTTTCACCCTTGGCCAACCGTCTCTTCTCCTTTTGGTGTGCTCCATCCATCTATAACTTCTTATCCATAGCCTTGATGTTTACATGTATGAACATCCATGTCACTATCCCTTCTTTCTCAAAGTATTGGAGTTACAGGGGCAGCTAGGTGGCGCAGTGGATAGAGCACAGGCCCTGAAGTCAGGAGGACCTGAGCTCAAATCTGGCCTCAGACCAAACACTTGACACTTACTAGCTGTGTGACCCTGGGCAAATCACTTAACCCCAATTGCCTTAAAAAAAAAAGTATTGGAGTTACAGTCTTCCTTTCCACCTTAACACTTTGCATTTGTGCCTAGGGACTTCAGTATTCACACTGTTGCCCCAAACACCCAAGGCTCCAAATTAATCAGCCTCCTTGAATCCTGTGAACGTCATCTTTATTCCATGTCGTGCACCGACAGGACTCTAGACTTCACCATCACAAAAGGTAATGAAGAAAGAGGCAATGTGGCTTAGATGGGATACTGGTTTTGGAGTCAGGAAGACTTGTACTTGAGTTCTACCTTAGACACTTATTAACTGTGTGACCCTGGCA